TCAAAAATTATTATTAGACCCCTTGCCAGAATCCCAATTTTTTTTTTTATATCTGCGTTCCTGTGCCCATGGGCATTAATGGGTTAATATATTTTTTCTTTTTTTTTTACTTCAACTGCAAAAAAAAATTGCATGAAATTCAAATGAAAAAATAATACAAAGCTTTTTGTAAAATGAAGCATTCGGGAAATTGTGGGCCACTATTTTTTTAGAAGTATGCAGCAACATAATATTAAAATCACTCATAGCTATAATAGTAATTTAATTAAAACAATTCTATTCATTGCAATGTATGAGATAGAGCTGTTGTAAAACTGATGTAAAATTGTTTTTTTAGACTTTTTTATTTTGATTTTTGAAAAATGTTCAAAAAATTTTAGAGTAAAAAAAGTGTGATTTTCTTGAATAATTATTAACTTTTTGAAAAATTGTTATAGACTTTTTTTATTGTGCTCGCTGAGCACAATTCAGCACAAATTTTATTTTTTTTAAATTTTGATTTGTGAAAAATGTTCAAAAAATTGAAGTAGGTATAAAAGAAATTTTTTTTTAAGTTTTGAAAAATATTAAAATTTTTTTTTCAGCACAATATTTGTTGTTGTTTGCTAGGTGTAGCACAATTTTTGTTTTTTAGTTTAATCAAAATTTTCTTGAGAAAAAATGAAATGGCGTTGACAACAGCTTCTTGGACATACGTTCGTGAGCGCGTCAGTCTCAACGGGGCGCCATAGACTTTTTCGTTGATTTCTCGAAAAGTTATCGCGATCCAACTATGAAATGTATGAAACCATTACAAAAAATTTCTTATTACTTTTGGCTATCACTATGAAAAAAATTTTAAAAAAATCGGAGGGGGGGTGTTTTTCTCAAAAAATAAAAAAAAATTTTTTTGAAAATTTTTTAATAATTAATAAAAATTTTTTATTCTAAAAAATTTATTTAAAAAGTACTAGCTATACTGAGAAGTTTAAATAAATATTTTGATAAAATATTAAAAACAACCGGAGTTATCTTAATTTTAAAAAATTAGTACATATATTTTCAAATTTAAATATTTTCAAATTTTTTTAGAAATTTTCAAAATCGTCTTCACTATATCATATCTTATCCTCATAGCTACAAGGAAAAAAGTTTCAAAAAAATTGCTAACAATGTCGAAAAATCGTCGATCATTTGACATGGAATTGCTCATTAAGATTTTTGAACTCTTTTGGTCTTAAATTAAAGATGAGACTTAAATGATTGCACCTATGTAAGTTTAAAATTTTTTCTACAATTTTTAAAAAATATGCAGAAGTTGAAAATTTTTTTAATTTTTTTGTCAAATTTGTTGATTGCTTCAATCTTTGTATAAATTATTAAAGTTTTCAGTTATGTATCATTATTCGTAGAATTTAATAATCTTTCGAATGGTATATTTGTTCATTTTCTGACATTTTTATTTACAAAAAAATCGTGATTTAAAGATTGGCATGTTTTTGGGCCGTGCGCGTGCAGCTGTACCGATAATTCCCGACGGTATATATAATTTCAAAAGAATCGGAAAACCTTTTACCTAGTTATTTCAAAATAACCGAAAAAACGGTTAACCGGTTATTTTATAATAACCGGTTAATTGGTTATTACATAGGGTCAAACCATTTTATTTCGCCTAATGTATTTTTGACATTTATAAAAAATTTCAATACTTCGGGAAAATATTCTTACATGTTTTGGGATTACGAAATGCACAATGATTTGTAAAAAATAATTTTATTTCATATAAAAAAAGATATTATAAATTGAGAGTACATGAAAAAAGGTTACATTGACAGGCATTACAAAATATTTAAAAAAGGAGTAATCTCTTTAAGAAATATGAAAAGAGCGATTAATAATTATTTTTAAAGACTGAATTTGTGATTTGAACTTGATAAAAGTATCAAATAATTTATAATAAACTGTAAAATATGTTATTTAAGTTTCTGTATGAAATGTCAAAAATCGATCATATTTAACAATTTTTTTTGACAAAGTAATTTAATTTTAGTAAATCAGAATTATTTAAATAATAAGTATTTTAAATACAATTTAATATTATTGAAATACTTTTTTGATTATCAACTGAGAAATATAAAAAAATTTACCTTAAAAATGAACCATTCTTCATTTTATCGTGATTTTGAATGTTTGTAACTTCGTTGGAGAAAAACCGATTCATGCCAAATTTTTGGAGCATGTAGATTGAAGCAATATTTTCCTGCTGCTAAAATTTCGCGATGGGTTTTGCACTAGTTTTCAAAAGAAATTGATTTTAAAAAATTGTTTATTTTGAAGGTTACAGACAAGTATTATAACTAACTTGAAGTTGGTTTCCTACTTGCAATAAAAGTCAAATTCAAAATAAAACGATTTTTCTAAAGTCAGTTTAAAACAAGCCAACTTCAAGTCAGCTATAATACTTGTCAATAACCTTCAAAATAAACACTTTTTCTTAAAACTAGTGCAAAACCCATCGCGAAATTTTACCAGCAGGAAGATATTGCTTCAATCAACATGCTCCAAAAATTTGGCATGAATCGGTTTTTCTCCAACGAAGTTACAAACATTCAAAATCCCGATAAAATGAAGAATGGTTAATATTTAAGGTAAATTTTTATATATTTCTCAGTTGATAATCAAAAAAGTATTTCAATAATATTAAAGTGTATTTAAAATACTTATTATTTAAATAATTCTGATTTACTAAAATTAAATTACTTTGTCAAAAAAATTGTTAAATATGATCGATTTTTGACATTTCATACAGAAACTTAAATAACATATTTTACAGTTTATTATAAATTATTTGATACTTTTATCAAGTTCAAATCACAAATTCAGTCTTTAAAAATAAATACACAGCCACACAAAAAAAAAAAGTTCTGATCTGGGGGTCTCACTATGTAGACTTTATGTTTTTTGGGTCGCTGAATCCGAATCCGAGGTCCATTTAACCCCATCAGATCAGGATTTTGACATAACCTCAAAAAACCAATATGGCGGACACATTTTTGAAAAGTTCATCGGATTCGCTTGAAATTCGTTACTCGGGGGTTTTTGGGGTCGCTGATTACGAATTTGAAGTCTGATTTCAAAAATTCAAAATGGCGGATCCAATATGGCGGACAAGTTTTTGAAAAATTCATCGGATTCGCTTGAAATTCGTTACTCTGGGGTTTTTGGGGTCGCTGATTACGAAATTGATGTCGGTTTTTCAAAATTTTGAATTTGAAAAAATTTTGAAAAAAAAAAAATTTGAATTTTGAAAAACCGACATCAATTTCGTAATCAGCGACCCCAAAAACCCCAGAGTAACGAATTTCAAGCGAATCCGATGAATTTTTCAAAAACTTGTCCGCCATATTGGATCCGCCATTTTGAATTTTTGAAATCAGACTTCAAATTCGTAATCAGCGACCCCAAAAACCCCCGAGTAACGAATTTCAAGCGAATCCGATGAACTTTTCAAAAATGTGTCCGCCATATTGGTTTTTTGAGGTTATGTCAAAATCCTGATCTGATGGGGTTAAATGGACCTCGGATTCGGATTCAGCGACCCAAAAAACATAAAGTCTACATAGTGAGACCCCCAGATCAGAACTTTTTTTTTTTGTGTGGCTGTGATATTAATAGCTCTTTTCATATTTCTTAAAGAGATTACTCCTTTTTTAAATATTTTGTAATGCCTGTCAATGTAACCTTTTTTCATGTACTCTCAATTTATAATATCTTTTTTTATATGAAATAAAATTATTTTTTACAAATCATTGTGCATTTCGTAATCCCAAAACATGTAAGAATATTTTCCCGAAGTATTGAAATTTTTTATAAATGTCAAAAATACATTAGGCGAAATAAAATGGTTTGACCCACATAATAATCGGTTATTCGGTTAAAACCGGTTATAACCGAATAATTGGTTATTTATCTGTAACAGGTTAACTTTTTAAATATCATTAAATAATAAGTTAAATTAAATAATGGATCCCAGTAAGAATGTACTTGGTAAAATTAATTTTCGGCACTTTTTTCACAGCCACGCAATTGACTCAACGGCGAATTAGAGAAATCGATGATTGAAAATATTGCTTGGCACGGTCCGACTCTTTTTGTAATATCTCGGGAACCCGTAAATATTTTTTGCTGTTCTTGGTCTCTATTTAAAGCTTAGGTTACAAGGAATAGTCTGTGAAAGTAACAATTTTTTCATCAACTTTTCTAAATTTTGCCAGGAATCAAAGTCAGGGTAAGAAATTCCGAAAAAAAAGAATTATTATTTTGTCTTCATAACATAATACCTTGCTTCCTATTTATGCAATACAACTTAAAATAGTGGCATTTCATTGGAAATTTAATGAGATTTCCAATGCAATTTAAAAAAAGCATCAAGCTTCATTTTTAACCGAGTTATCACTCTTTCTGTGCGGGTGTGTTTTTTAATAGCTCGAGGTGTTAGGGGTCGCACAATTTCCGCCGGTAGTGTACAAATCCAAAATTTCGAAAATTCATAACTCGAAAATTTGGGCGATTTAACAAAAATAAACAAATACGTATTTCATATTTTTCTATAAAGATTAAGAAAAAAATAGGTTTAACCGAATTTTAACGGTCATAGGTAAATCTTACGTATAGAATTGCCTATATGTATTTAAATAAGGCAGGAACAAAATAAAACTCATAAAGTCAACATTAATAAATGTTTAGTTAGAAATATTTCAAATAATTTATATAAACATTTTCTTATAATCATTAAAATAAATTAAAACGTAACGTTTAGTGTGAAAATTCAACATTTATGGTATTAAATGCTTATAAACTTTAAAATTAAAAACAAAAAAATATTTAAAATTTGTCCGGATAATCGAAAATCCGGATAATGGGGGTCTGGATAATGGCGTTTCTGCTGTAATTAATTCTAACTTATTAATATATAAATTGAATTTAAATTGAAAATAAAATAATTCTTTATATTAACTTACATTGCAAACTCCCCAAGCAACTGTACACTCTTCGCTGGTAGCAGAAGCTTGATTTGCTTGGCATTCAATGCAAAGATCCATTATGTGATTTCGACAAATTGCGCAGTTATCGACAACGATATCTACAAGAATAAAACTCATATTAATATAAAAAATTATAATATTTGTTCAAACTTGAAAATAATTTTGAAATTGTCCCTCACTATCTAAGGAGAAGACAATATTGACGTGTAACTTATATAAATCCACTTCCATGATAGTTTGTAAACAAATTATGTTCAAATTTATGCAAAGCAAATTGTGATCCCATTTACTATGCTTAGGTATTTATAATCGCACGTAAATGTAAATTTTAGAAATTCAAGTCTAATTTTTGATGCAGCTACAAATTATCGCATTAAATATTTTAAAATTTAATCTTAATTTTTGTATTTATTGATTAATAATTATCTTTATCATTTTTAAAATTATTTAATGTTTGAAAAAAGTAACAAATTAAAATTTAACCTTAAAAAATTTTCATAACTATTAAAAAATGTCGTTTAAATATTTAACAGAAAATAAATACCATACACTACCGTCTACGAGTATCAGGACGGTTACAAGCGACTCTATGAAAAAACATGTTATCACTTTTTCAGAGCTCGAACCAGTGAAAGTATTTAAAAATACGGACTTTACGGACCAAAAATGAAAAATTACGGACCATTTACGGACCAATTACACTGGAGCTTCACTTATTTTCACTAAGTCGAAACAAACTGAAAGGCAAAGTCGCACTTATTTTCACTCTGAAACGTAACATTCGAGTTGATTTGATTGGTGGATTATTTAACAACAACCAATGAGAACGCACGGAGAACCTTTTAACTGAAAATAAGTGAGACTGGAAATGGTGAAAATAAGTGAGACTGAAAATAAGTGAGACTGAAAATAAGTGAAGCTCCAGTGTACTGACAAAAATATATAAGAGAACATTTTACTTAAAACTATAAATTAGATTTTTTCATAACTAAAAAACATGAAGATATCGATAACTCCGAGTCTTCGACTCGGAGCGATCGATTACTTCATGTTTTATAATAATTAAAGATAGAATGATAAAATCATTATCAATTCAATTATTATTTTCAAGAATTTTTAACTAAAATTCTTCTTAAAATCGATTATTTTTAATAATTTTCGAAAAAGTTCTTTGACAATTTTCAAATCCATTTCTTTACAATATTCAATTTTACGAAATTTCAATTATTTTTAAATTCTTCAATTAAATATGTATTAAAAAATAAAAACTTCAAATAATATAAAAAAAAATCCGCAATTAAAATTTCTCAAAAAAATTAATTCCACAGAATTGTTAGTTAAAAATATGAAAAATTCAAATTTTCAAAGATTTGAATCTGAAACCTTTTCAAAATTTAATTATTTTTAAATCAATTTTTATCAGAAAATTCTACGAGAATTTCATTATTTAAATACAAAAAAAAAAACAATTTATTGAATAATTACATATGTTTCTTAAAATTGAATTCTTTTAAAGAATTGTATCAATCAATTTTCAAATAATTTGAATTCTTTTGCAAAATTTTATTAAAATAGTAGATATTAAAAATAATTAAATTAGGGAAAATTTTTGAAAATAATGAAAATTTTGCCAAGAAATTTATTAAATGTTTTGAAAATAATTCAATTTTAGAGAAGAATTTTATTATTTATAAAGATAATTAATAATTTACGCAAAGAATTGCATTAAAAATTCTGAATGCAATAATATTATTCTTTAAAGAAATTTAATTAAAAATTTATTAAAAATAATATTTAAATTGTAATAAATAAATTGTAGCAAAGGTTATTAAAATAATTAAATTTCTTTGATAAATTTTAATAAAATTTTTAAGAATAATTACATTTATCGAGGAATTCGATTAAAATTGTATTAAAAATAATTGAAATTCTGCAATTAGCTTTATTATTTATTAAAATAATTGAATTCCTAATAAGAATTTTATTATTTGCCAAAAAAATTAAATACCTGTAAAAATGTTATTATTTATGAAAATAATTGAATATTGCGAAGAAATTTATAAAAAAAATTTGTAAATAATGAAATTCCTGTAAAATTTTTATTATTTTTTGAAAATAATTAAAGGTTTGTTTAGAATTTTAGTAGATTTTTTTTAAATAATTGAATTCTTTTGGAAAATTTTATTAGAATAGTATTAAAAAGTATATCTATAGTAAAAGTATATAGTATATCTATAGTTAAAAGTATATCTATAGTATAGATACCTATTAAAAATCATTGAATTGAGGAAAAATTTTGAAAATAATTGAAATTTTTCTAAGAATTTTATTAAAATTTTTGAAAATAATTGAAATTTTTCTAAGAATTTTATTAAAATTTTTGAAAATAATTGATATTTCGGAGAAGAATTTAATTATTTCTAAAGATAATTGAAATTTTGACGAGAATTTTTAAAAATTTTTGAACATAATTGAATTTTTGCGAAGAATTTTATTACTTTTGAAAATAATTGAATTCCTTCAATCATTTGTAATTTCTCTAAAATTATCCAAATTATATCGTATAATTTACGTACTTTACGGACCTTTTTCAATCGAATTACGGACTTTACGGACCTTTTTTCAAAAAAACGGACTTTTACGGACTTCAAGCAAAGTTACGGACTTTTACGGGATTTACGGACCTAGTTCGAGCCCTGCTTTTTCAATCATATCTCGTAAATAAAAGGAGATACAAAAAATCTTACATACGGTTAGAAAGCTGATTAAATTTTGCGTAAAATAGGTAAGCTATCTTTGAAGTCATTTCGTTAACTATTTTAAAAACCTAATTTAGATGCAATTTGGACACTTTGATGCTGCTTTTTATACTGAGAAACATAAATACATTCGATTCTGACTCTTTGTAAATTTCAATTATTTACCAATAATTGAGGCTCCGGATCTTAAAAGGGCACTTTTACCATTTAAAATCAATGCTAAAAGTGGTCTTTTAAGATCCGGAGCCTCAATTACCAACTTTGAAATTTTTCAAAAATCAATTTTTTAAAATTTTTAATAAGTTCTTTAACAAATTGTATTATTTTCAATTCAATTTTCTAAAATATCAATTAATTTTTAATTCTTTAATTAATTTTTCTTAAAAACTTGAAGTAACTTTAAAAAATTGACTTAAAATGTTTTAAATGCAAGATTGATTATTCCAAAATGTTAAAAAAAAGTTTAAAGATTTCACTGTTATTGAAAGGCCAGTTCTTGGTGGTCTCAAGTCGAGTAAAAAAGGGACGCAGTAAGGTGGTCTGCATTTGAATTGTTAGAATCTTGTCAGCATCGAATTTTAATTTCTATAAACGTTATTTAATATAACTGCCATAATTTTAATTTCAATTTGAGTAAATTATTATTGAATAGAAGTAAAAGAATAGTAAAAATATATAACATGAAGTTGAACAAAATTGGAATAGTTGAAACTTTAGGAAGTGAGTAATTTTGTTTAAAATAAATTTGAGGTAAATGAATTATTGTTAAAAAGAATAGTCTCGTATAAGATTTTCTGCTTATTGTTTTAAATTTTGTAAAGCAACATCTTTATTTAATTGAAATTTTTAAAACTATTAGGGTCATTTGGGGTAAATGTAAACAAGGGGTAAATGTAAACAGTAGATGTAGAGGTAGCTAAATTTACAAATTTAAAAATAAGTACGACGTCAATATTTTTACCTCAGCTCACCTACAAGATGTTCTGAGTATTGCCAATATTTTATTTTGACAATTGGCAATGCCATAGTGTAAGTTATTTTTTAATGCAAAAAAGATTGAAAATCAAAGTTTTACTGTTTCAGTATTTTGCCTCGCATTTGCATAAAAATAAATTTAAAAATTAAACAAAAATATGTAATTCTTCCTTATTAATTAAACAGTATTGTATTGTTTAACAGTATTAAACAGTAGTATACTTAAAATAACTTGTTTCTTAAACCTCGCTTAACTACAGTGGTGTTTACATTTACCCCGAATTTTAGGAAAATTTCAAAATCTCGGGGTAAATGTAAACAGTCAGTTTTAGGCGATTCAGGTGCATCAATATTTTTTTGTACCTCATCAAATTTTTCTAGGGAACTCTATAGTAACAAGTTCATGAAAAAGAAATCCGTCCGTTTTACCTTTTAACAAAAAAACCAATGTTTTTGGTGAAAAATAGATATTCCGTTTACATTTACCCCAAATGACCCTATATATATGGGCAATTCTACGTGAGATTTTAGTCGACCTCTTAAAATCGGCCAAAAATATTTTTTTTCTATTCTATATTGAAAAAAATAGATACTTATTTTTTTATTTTTGTTTAATTGTCAAAATTTTCGAGTTATGAATTTTCGAAATTTTGGACTTTTAATTGTAGACCTATATTCAGTAGCTTATATAAGTCCGAAAATATTGAGTTTAGGAAAAAGTTGTCAAAGAATGAAAGTTTTAGTTTTCTTTCGACTTTTAAGAAATGTAATCAAAAAAAATTTTTTTTTATAAACAAATTAATTTTTTTTAACTTTGGGCCGGTTTTTTTTTATTTTTTTTAAATTTATTTATACCTTATAATATAGAGAAGATTTTCCAAATAGTCCCGAAATGGGCCTGATGTGTTAAATGAGTTTTAAAACATTTTCAAAAATCACTTGCAAGCATCACAGTGGGATTTTTCTACAATTAACTTTTTAAAACTGTCTACAGCGTAGACCCTTTAAATTAAAACAAAGAACACTCAAATAGATTAAAAATTATACGCTGTAGACAGTTTTAAAAAGTTAATTGTAAAAAAATCCCACTGTGATGCTTGCAAGTGATTTTTGAAAATGTTTTAAAACTCATTTAACACATCAGGCCCATTTCGGCACTTTTTGGAAAATCTTCTCTATATTATAAGGTATAAATAAATTTAAAAAAAATAAAAATAAATCCGGCCCAAAGTTAAAAAAAATTAATTTGTTTATAAAAAAAAAATTTTCGTTTTTATTTCTTAAAAGTCGAAAGAAAACTAAAACTTTCATTCTTTGACAACTTTTTCCTAAACTCAATATTTTCGGACTTATATAAGCTACTGAATATAGGTCTACAATTAAAAGTCCAAAATTTCGAAAATTCATAACTCGAAAATTTGGACAATTAAACAAAAATAAAAAAATACGTATCTGTTTAGTTTTTTTTCAATACAGAATAGAAAAAAAAATATTTTTGGCCGATTTTAAGAGGTCGACTAAAATCTCACGTGGAATTGCCCATATATATGTTTAATGGAATTTACATTTCAAGAAAATAATTCATAACAGAATGATTATACCGTCAAATTTATACTTAGACATATATTTTAATTTAATCAAATATATGTTTAACGTAATTTGCAGTTAATCTAATTTTCGTTTAATGGAATACCTACTAAGCTGAATTATAGTGTTCAACATTTTTTATTTAGTAAATTCATTATTGACAATAAATTTTAATTATTAGAAAAATTTCTTTCCATATGTGGACGACCGCATGAAAAGGGACCACTTAGTCGGTTCTAGATTCCGAGATAATCGCAATTTACTAATTTTTAAAAAAACTATCGAATTTTTTTTTTATTCGTTTTTCTTAATCTACAGAGTCTCCTACGTCGATTCATACATTTTTCATTTATTTATTTATACTTTAAGTATTTTATTTCGTTGTTAGATAAAAAATGAAAAGGGGCCACTTTGTCGGTCCGTTGCAAAAGTTGTTTCTGTTTCAAAATGGAGGGGGTGGAAAAATTCAAAACCTTTTGATTGTTATCTTAAGGGTGTACTAGACTTAAAACAACTCTCATCTGAATAACTTCCCAGAAGAACCAGAGAAATTCACAATACAATTTTTAATTTCGTTTTTTTAGAAATGAAAATTTCGATATTTTCTTAAATTATTCATAATAAAGACCCTCAAAATAATTTTTTATGTCTACTCTCTCTCTTTTTGCTTCAAATAAACTCAATAAAATAACATCCATAACCGTTAACTTTGCAAAAAATCTTGCTGACAAGATTCTAACAATTCAAATGCAGACCACCTTACTGCGTCCCGTAAAAAATGTACACGGTGAGCGGATATTTATTTTTATTTTTTATTTATTCAATAATAAGTTCCTAAGGCTAATGAGCCCACTGAGGAATAAGATACATAAGTATTTGATTATATGTAAAACTATATTTAATTTTACAACTTTAAAATTGCATATTAAACATAAACATGGTGAGAGAAAAAAAAATTATTCTATCTTCAATATAACAATTAAATCAGTCACAGCCAACCATGCCTATGAGTAGTAATAAATGATATTGTCGCAATTATATAGGATATATGTATATATTAAATTTTGTAAAAGTATTTTACAATTTGGGGAAATATTGCAACAAAGTAAAATTTTGTTATAAAAAATACTAAGCTTTAAAAAAAATTGAGGTAAAGTTATAATAAAATTTAAACCATATCTATACGGCCAGTTAACTGTCAGAATAAGGTGGTTTAATTATTTGGCCACACTGAAAAAAAAAGTTCATTGAATCAAGTAAATGCATTTTCTTGACCTGATTTATTTGAAACAAACCCATATTTTCTTATTGGAAGAAATTTATTTTCTTGTGTCAAGTAATTTTGAGCATTGATCAAAGTTATTGAAATAAGAAAATATGGGTTTGACATAAGTAAATATCTTACTGTTTCAAACGAACTGTTTTACATGCGCCAAGTCTCGAAAAAGTATTGAATCAAGAATATCATGTTCTCACGTCAAGTAATTTACCTTGAGTCATTTGGTATCTTGAGTCAAATAATTTTTTTATTTCCTTTAAAGCAACTATTTATTTCATCCAACACCCATAGTCTTGAGCCAAGAAAATGGGAAGATTAATACAAGTTAATAATTGTTTCAACTCAATTAAAAATTATTTTGTTTCAAAGAAATATTAATTAATCTAAGCATTTCTTTTACTTGAAGCATTTCTATATTCTCATGTTTCAAAATCATTAATTTGTTGCGAGAATGTTATATTTTCTGGAATGAAATATTTTATTTATTCAATTCAATTAAGTGTAAGATCTTAATATAAGTAAATATTTGTTTCAAGTCGATTAAAAATTATATTCAATTAATCCCATATTTATTTGAAGAAAGAAATTCATTTTCTTGTGTCAAGTAATTATTAGCATTGAACAGAATTCTTGAATTAAGAATGTAGTATTTGGCGGAACTAAATATGTAATTATTTCAACCAAATATTTTACTTTTCCGAAGTACCAAAAAGTATTGAATCTAGAATATATGTTCTTAAGCGAAATAATAAAGTATTGTCTGGAGAATTCATGTTTCTTGAATCGAATCATTTTATTTATTTGCTTTGAAACTTTTTTTTACTTAACACAATGCCGGTGTTCTTGATCCAAGAAAATATTTTTCTTCAAATGTATATGCAACTTAAATATCAGTTTTTGAAAACTGTCCATTGAGGCTAGGATGGCATAGTGGTAGCGTGACGGCTTCTGGTGCGTGCAACCCGAGTTCAATTCCTCCGACCGTGGAAAATTTTCTTTCAAGGTATATTTGTTGTATTTGTGTTAAGTATTAATTAAATGTAAATATATATGTAAAATAATAATTATTTAATTATTTAAATAAAAAATATAAATGTTAATTAATTAAATAATAAAAATGTTTGACCTAAGTATTAGAAAAGATGGGATGGAGGTAAGGGGGGGGGGGGTAATTTAAGTAAATAATTTACTTGTATTGAGAAAGTATTTTTTTGATTGAAAACTATAAATTTTCTCAAATCAAGAAAATATTTTCTCGGACAGAGAACATACTTTCTTGATTTGATACATAAATGATTTTGAATTAATATATTCTGCATTTCTTACATGCTACTTAATTTCTTGGTAGAATTCCATATTTTCTTGGATCAAGAATATCTGTTCTTCTCACAAAATAAATGTTTTCTTCATTTAATCTTGAATTACTTGAACGAACGTTACAAAACATTGAATGAATCGAATAAAATAATTCAATCATCTATATATATTCTTAGAACAAGAAAATATTTTATTCATTTAATACATTTTATATTTCGTATAAGAAGATTAACTTCTTGGTCGAATTCCATATTTTCTTGGATCAAGAATATATGTTCTTCTCCCAAATATCCTATGTCAAGAAAATCGTTTTCTTGAATCAATACTTTAATAGTCTTGGCCGTATTCAATCCCACGATTTTCTTCAACCAAGAAAAATTTTCTTGGTTCAATACTTTTTTTTTTTCAGTGCAGTGACTAGAAATAAGAGAAAAACTGTCAGAATAAGATGATTAAATAATTCTGCCAGTGCACTGGCAAAATAAGACGGTTTTACTATTTGGCTATTGTATTAATAAAGCGCCCATCAGGTATAAATAGGTATCTGTTGGATGTTTGTTTGTTTATTTAACATTTTAACCAATCTTGTATAAATTTTTAAAAAAATTCCAAAACGAATAAATTGGTTCAGCTTTAAGTGTGACATGAACTAAACTTATTAAGAAATTTTTGTTAAAATTTATATTATAATTAATATTATAAAAATAATAAATATATAGGCTTTTTGTTATTTTTGTTGTAAGTATAGACAAAGTTCTTGATACACATTTGAAGGAAGAAAAAGTAATTTGTTTTTATTCTGCACACACTTCTTTGTGTCTCACGAAGTTTTCTTATAATTTCTTCCTAAATCGTTAAAATTATTTAAATTATAGCTTTTCAATAGGCCAAAAGATACAATATATTGTCAGGGTGGTCACAAGTTTCAGATTATCAATTTCCCTGACAATTTACTGACATTAAAATTATATTCCCTGACAAAATTATTTTTGCAGGAACATATGAAAGTTTTTGAATTTTATATATAAATATGACCATGATTTCTCCGAAGTTTAAAAAATCTAAATGATTCAAGAATAATTTTTGAAAGATTTGTTATAGTTATTTTTCGCACTATAAAAATGAAAATAATTTGCATTTTATACTAAAAGATGTGGTATTTTGTTGCAATATTTGGAAGAAAAGTCGAAAATCCGCAATTTTTTAAAATAAATCGAAAAATGTCTCAATTTTCTTAATTTCCCTGACAAAAAAATTTTTTTCTGTCACTTCCTTGACGTTACTGACAAAAATTTTGATTTCCTGACATTTCCCTATTATAATAAATGCAAGCAATAATAATAAAAAATTAATATTGTTTATTAATAATACTTTTTCACCTTTTTTTTTCAAAGAGAATTCAAGATTTCTAAGTTTGTTAAAAATGTTTTTGGACAGCAAGAACCAAAAACCAGAGTTTTATAGTAATTCTAGAAATTTGATATTTTTCCATTAATTGTGAAAAAATTTCCTGACATTTCCCTGACCTGTGTAACTCTGAATAATAATGTAATATTACATTAAATAAACTAAAAATTTAAAGTTTACAAATTGGAGAAACTCTGATAAATGAAATGTCAATTTTTGTTAAATTTTTAAGTTTCAATTTCATTAAAATGTCATTAATAAGAAAATCATAAAAGTCTTGAAAAAGTTAAAAGAAATAAAATAAAATTTATGCTCACTTCAATAATCTAAAATTATTTTTCAAAAAACTAATTCTAAAGAAAAAAAAGTATTAATAAAAACAATACTTTTAACTTTATTTTAAAAATAATTATTCAAAAATTCTTTAGAAAAATTAACTGACAGTATTTAAATTTTAAAATGATTGCATTATTATTTTCAAAACTTATCTGCCAAAATTGTTTGTAAACAAAATTTCAAATAGAAAGATTCTGTTATTGAATGATAATAATATATATATATATATATATATATATATATATATTTACGATTTAGAAAACCTTAATGGGATAGAATTTTGTAGAGCGTAAAATTATGAGAAATAAATTTAAAATAATTTCAATTACACTCACCCCAAGCCCAGAGTGCGACTGCATTCCACTAAAAGAAAATAAAATTTCACTAAAACTATATATATTATTTTTTTGAGAATAAGGCAAATACTTTCCATAACATTTTCAAAAGTAAAAATGCATGACATAGCGTAATTGAGGTTATATATGTTTAGACTGAAAATTTTTTTATGGTAGCTATCTTTATTAAACAAAAATATATTTTATACCTTTTTAACTTCAAAGCGTTTCTTTTCTCCTTTTCCACTGCTAGATGAAGGTAAATCTACTTCTTCATCGTCAATATCCATAGCTGATGCCATTTTTGTAATATTGATTTATTATTTAATCTTGTCTTTAAAGTCCAATTTAAATTTATCGACGACAGTATTACCACTGGAATAGAATACAAAACCTCAAATATTTTGAATTTTGTGAATATGAAGAAAATTATGAAAAATAGAACTGAATTAAATTATACGTTATGAGCAATGAATATACAGCAATGTTTATAGTTTTTGAGGTTAGGTTGCTTCTACACAGAATCAGATCTGCAGTTGATCACGTGAACATGTAGGGGCACAATTTAGTAAAATTTAAAACCTCATTTCCTACAATACACAGAATCTTGGAAAATTGTCAAATTCATTTCAAAACTTACATAAATTTTATAAATAGTTTTTTCGAATTAAAAGCAAGAAGTAAGTATTGATATTATTTTCAGATTATTTTATAATTTCAATAATATTTGAAAATTGTTTGAATTCATTTTTCCCCAGAAAAATCACTAAAGAAAAATGTCTCTCTGTTGGACATTTCTTGAACTACAATAACACTATACAATCTACCATACCCACCATACCTCCTGAGGACTATCGTGAATGCTGTGGAGTAAATCGAGCATCCGCAGACATCGAGTATGTATAAATCAGCCGCTTAAACAACACGTGTTTACTTAGGCATGTTACTTTTTGCTTAAAAATAATTTATTTATTTAGTTTTACATTACAAAATCATTAATTATACTCTATTTTGAATAAATCAGTTTTCAGTATTTACTTACACGAAGTTTAATGTAATACTTATTAATAATACATTTAAAATAATTGTGATGAACTAACAACCAAATTAAAAAACCTAACAAAATCTTTGTATTTATTTTTAATTCTGTATTTTCCAAATATAGAAAAAGTTAAGTTTGTTGACCTTCAGTTGGAAAAAAGTAGTTGCATGATAATTTTATAAACTATGAATTACTTGATGTTTATTGTTAATAGTGATAAACGATAACATGCGGTTACTTTATATATATATAAAATAAGTTGAATAGTTTTTGTTTTTATAAATATTTATTTCTTTTTCATCAATTTGTAAAGGCTTTTTGTCAATGTATGAAAAATAATTGTTGAGTTCAAAGTATGCGAAATTGAATAAATTATAATTCTGTTAAAACTAGAAATAAATTATTTTATACGATTTTCGAGTTTATAAATTCTTTGGGCTTAAGTTCATATTTTTTTAATATATAATATATATTATTATTTAGTGTTTGATATTGTCTATTTATTGTTAGTTGTGAGTTTCAATTTTAACTAATTTTTAATTTCAGGCAAAATGTCCATAAAAGAAGGAGACAATTTGCGAGAGTTACAACCAATAAATTTAAGTGGCAATATAATTCAATCTGATAAAGATGATGCCATAAATAAAGTACAAATGAAAAAACAACTTGGATTACTTGAAGGAGTTGCTATTATTTTGGGTATTATTCTTGGATCAGGTAAGAATTTATTTTCAAAAATTTTGTTATCTGTAATAAATAAAATTAATTAATAATAATGTAAAATGCAAACCTTTTCACCGACAAAAAACAATAGCAAAGAGACAGGTTTATACGGGAATGGAAACTAGAAAAGTTCAGCTTTATTTTTATATAATTTTCATAAAAATCGACTGGGAGGTGTTTTGAGATATTAAGAGTTTAACATTTCAAACAGAAATTTCTCTACGTAATTGAGAAAAATTTTTAAAAAATTAAAAAGCAATAGAAAGTTTATGAAATTCTCTTTCGAATCAGTGTATAATATATTATAAATAATAACATTTTTATAATAAAATTTATTAGAAAATCGGTCTCTTTGCGATTGTTTTCTACAAATGTGCGATATTTCGTCTGCAATTTAAATTAACGCAAGTCAGAGAAAACATAATTTTTTTACCTGGAAAACCGGGAAAAAGTCAGGGAATTTAAAAACAAAAAACTATGGCAACCTTTTTGGAATCAAAAATTTGTTATAAGGGAACATCTTTATCAATCACCAAGCTTTCCGAAAAAAATTAAAGTCTGAATTTAAATTATCATTGGGTTTCAGTTATAATAGTTTTTAAAATATTGTTTAGAATTCTTGGTATGAATTTCAAATTTTACAGGAATATTTATATCACCAAAGGAAGTAATAGAAGAAGTGGGAAGTGTTGGTCTTTCCCTAATGATTTGGATACTTTGTGGTTTATTATCGATGATTGGTGCCTTGTGTTACACAGAATTAGGAACCACAATCCCAAGAAGTGGCGGCGATTATGCCTATATTTACGAAGCCTTTGGTGATTTACCTGCATTTTTATATTTATGGGCAGCCAATATAATATTTGTGTAGGTAAAACTGTAATTTCTAAAAAAAAGTTCATCAAAGACAAAATAAATTGCATGTACAGCAACTTACAAATTATTTTTCAAAAGAATTAGCTGTTTTACTGACTAAAATAATTACGCAATTTCATTGTTTCAGTCCAACAACAAATGCCATTATGGCCTTGACTGTTGCTAAATACGTTTTGGAACCATTTTTTCACAATTGCATCGTTCCTGCGGATGCAGAAAAATTAATCGCAGCTGTTGTAATATGTAAGAAATGTTTCTACATTTTTGGAAAATTTTTTTTTTAGTTGAAATTTTTACTTTTAACCATTTTGTTTTAGGTTTTTTAACTTTCATTAATTGCTATGGGGTTAAAGAGACATCTAAAATGCAAAATTTTTTCATGTTTGCAAAAATAGCTGCCCTTGCTCTTATCATTATTTCCGGTTTCATTTGGCTTTTTATGGGTACGTATGCATGAAGTCTTTTTCTACTTACTATTTTTAATTTTATTATATGTAAATATACACCATATATTTTTAAAAATCAATCTTTTTTCGATAGGAAATTACTCAAGCTTTCAAGAACCATTTAAAAATACAAATTCTGATCCGGGGAAAGTAGCAGTTGGATTTTATTTAGGAATATTCTCCTACTCTGGCTGGAATTACTTAAACTTTATGACTGAAGAATTACAGAATCCTTACGTGTAAGTATAATTTTTTTTCACTTTAAAAAACAGTTCCTTGCTGAATTTATTGACAAATTATACTTTGCTAAATGTAAAAAAAAATAAATGTTTTCAAATAAATATTTGTTTATTTTATTTTAAATTAATAATTTTATTAATTATCGTATTAAAATAAAAATATATAATATACATATTTTATTATTACATTTTTAATATATTTTTATTAAAAATAAATAATATATATATATATATATATATATATATATATATATATATTATAAAATGCTTTTTATACTGATTAATCTTGTGAATCATCAAAATAACAAGGACGTACTGTATCTGCGAATTGAATAAATCGTAGACGATGACTTTTTTTAAATAAATTGTTTGCACTTTTGTAGGAACTTGCCACGTGCTATTTACATTTCATTGCCTTTGGTTACATTAATCTACGTATTGACAAACGTAGCATATCTGGCTGTTTTATCACCGTATGCAATGTCACAGTCAAATGCAATTGCTGTTGTAAGTATTAATGGTCAATTAAAACTAATATTATTTTGAGGAATTTTTTTTACCTTTGACCCGATTCGTTTAAAATTAAAATTCTTCAAAAAGTGATGATTACTTTTTATGAAAAATCACTGCAGCTTATTTTCAGTGAATTAAGTTTTGATGCATTTTTATTTTAATTATTTGAAATTATTTTGAATGTCTTGTATACTCAGAAAAAAGTAATCTCCAGTTTAGAGGAAAAATTCTCTTCTAATTTTCTCTCAAAACAAAACTATTCCACTTAAATGTAGAATATTTTTATTCTTTTGATGGTTAATAATACAACAAAACAATGTTTTTGAGTTTCTGATGTCAAAAATTAATTTAAAGATTTGAAATTAACTACGACGAACTTTAGCTCTCCTGTAAGAGGTGCTAAGTATTGCCAATATTTTATTTTGACAATTGACAATGCAGTACTCCAACACGGAAAAAATTCCGGGACATCAGATGCGCCAAGGACAGTGTCAACAGCAGTACATTTCATTTTTCACGTCTGAGGTGCCATTTCGAGATATCAGACGTACGTAATGCACGTCAGATACGCCAAACTGGCACAGATGGCGTGCAAAATAAATAGAAGAAAATTTGACACAACCTGTACATCTGACGTGCCGATACTTTTTCCGTGAAGTAATCATTTAATTCATAAAAGATTGAAAATCAAAGTTTCACTGTTTTAGTATATTGACTTGTATTTGCATAAAAATAAACTAAAAATTAAAAAAAATTTATAATTATTCCTAATTAATGCTATAACAAAAATTGACTTTGATTTTTCAATTTTGTCAATTTACTTAATAAATAATAAACTGTTTACATTTACTTCGAGAATTTGTAATCTTGGTGTAAATGTATAGGTAAACAGAACTTCAACTGCATTACGTAGAAAAGGAGATTGGGTGAAAATAACCTCTTTTCTTTTACTAAAAAATTTCTAAATTAAATTATTAAATGTAAATACAAAATTATGAATTTATTTTGTTATTCTGAAAGCAATCATTTGTATAAATTGTTTTTGTTAGACTTTTGGAGATAAAATCCTGGGTGTGATGTCTTGGATACTGCCGGTAATGGTAGCTGTATCGGCTTTTGGAGGTTTGAGTGTTCATATAATGACATCATCGAGAATGTGTTTCGTAGGTGCTCGAAATGGACATTTTCCATCAATGTTGAGTCATATAAATGTCAATAAATTTACACCAACACCGGCCTTAGTATTTATGGTAAGAATAAAAATTTTTTTTATGTTACAAGACCAATTTACTACAGAACTTTATTAAATATTTTCTTAATCTATTAAAAAAAATTTCAGTGCCTCTTGTCTCTGATAATGCTTTCAACTAATAAATTGGATGTTCTTATCACTTATTGTACAATTGTTGAATCGTTCTTTATAATGCTCTCTGTGGCTGGAGTTCTTTGGTTGAGACATAAGCGACCCAAAATGCCACGACCTATCAAGGTAAATTTCGACAAAAATCATAAGATTTATTATTTTATTTTAATTTAATTTAATTTATTTTAATTTCTGTTTAAATTGTAAAATGTATTTTATAAAATTAAAATTTTTAGATTTCTCTCTGGATTCCAATTGTGTTTGTTGTGGTTTGTGCATTTCTAGTGATTGTTCCATGTTATGAACGACCTTTTGAGGTTGGCATGGGATTAGTTATTACGTTAACAGGTATTCCCGCTTATTTAGTAGGAGTTTGTTGGAAAAAAAAACCTATGAGTTTTCAAAAATTTAACAGTAAGTTTAGTTTCTTTATTATTTATGAATATAGTTTTAACTTTTTTAATTATACATCATTTAAGCTCTCGGATAAAAAAACTCGATTAGCGCGCGAACATACCTTCTAATGTCATTCCAGTAGCACAGACAGATCCAGAGACACTCACTGGTACTTGACCAATATTAGAGCGTGTGTCTGCACGTTAATCGAGTTTTTGAATCCGTCGGCTCTTTTTTATCTCAATTAAATAATTTCCTAAGTTTAGTTAATTCAGTGTTTGAATTAAGTAGACTTTCTGGTCTGGTCACGTTCTGATACTTTTAGCTCAACCTGTACATACACGGAAAAAATTCCGGGACATTAGATGCGCCAAGGACAGTGTTAACAGCAGTACATTTCATTTTGCACGTCTGAGGTGCCATTTCGAGATATCAGACGTACGTAATGCACGTCAGATACGCCAAACTGGCACAGATGGCGTGCAAAATAAATGTAGAAGAAAATTTGACACAACCTGTACATCTGACGTGCCGATACTTTTTCCGTGTACTACTACAAATAAAGTCGTACATGTGTCAATTCACATGGGAGTAGAAAATACTACAAATAACGTCATAAAATAGAAGCTTTAATTCGTAATTAAAAAAAAAACGAGGCGGTAAACTAGAAATTTTTTTGTACATTTTGGTTCAAAATGAGTATGTATTCGTGTATTATATATTAGTTTTTGAAAAACATCTATGAACAATTTATGTTTATGAGCAATTCCATGTCAAATGATCGACGATTTTTCTACATTGTTAGCAATTTTCTTGAAACTTTTTTTCCTTGTAGCGTATAAGGATAAGATTGATAAAGTGAAGACGATTTTGAAAATATTCAAATTTGAAAATTTATGTACTAATTTTTAAAATTAAGATAACTCCGGTTGTTTTCAATATTTTTTCAAAATTTTTTTTTAAATTTCTCAGTAGGGTCATTTGGGGGAAGGGGCCGTACACATAATACGGAAATAAGGGGACTTTTAGCATAATGGGGCCGTACACATAATACGTCACGCGATTTTTGACCATTTTTAACCCCTCCCTCCCCCTATGTCACACTTCGTCACAAATCTTGAACCCCCCCTCCCCCTACGTCACGTCACACACGTAAATTTCACTGTAAATTTTATACATTGGACATTATATATTATATCCTATACACTCTAAATTATTGAATCAGTTAAAAATAACTGATTTAAAAGCAAAAAATCAGACACTAATTCAAATAGTAATATTTTTTCTGACAATTAGTTAAAAATAATTGATGTTTCAATACAATTTTTTTTTATTAATTCAAATTAGTCACGTTTAACTACCTACATAGCACCGAAACTGTTCTAACAATTTATTAAAGATTTACTCGCAAGCTTCGAAATATTTAAATGCAAAGTTTAGTGAAGATTGTGTAAAGATTTAAATATCCCACTTCAATAAGTGTTTAGTGCGAAACTTTCCTGAAAATTTAACTTAAATTTTCAGGAAAATTTTCACGAAAGTATAATAGTCGAAAATGTAATTCAAATGTTCAGTAAACTTTCAAGCTATATTTTTAAGAAAATTTGACGATAGACATTTATTGGAGTGAGAAATTTAAATCTTTAGGGTCAATTAGGGTAAATGTAAACGGAATATGTATCTTTCACCAAAAAACTTAGTTTTTTTTGTTAGGTAAAACGGACGAATTTCTTTTGCATGAACTTGTTGCTAGTGTTACCTAGAAAAATTTTATGAGGTACAAAAAAATATTGATGCACCTGAATCGCCTAAAACTGACTGTTTACATTCACCCCGAGATTTTGAAATTTTCCTAAAATTCGGGGTAAATGTAAACACCACTGTAGTTAAGCGAGGTTTAAGAAACAAGTTATTTCAAGTATACTACTGTTTTAAGGGATGGAAAAACTGGAAAAAAATTCTTCGTAGATGTATAGTAAATCAACCAGTTGACTGATAATGTATCATATAAATAAACAATCAACCATTACAAAATTAGTAATGTAAAAACTTGAATAACTTGAACAAATTTTAATAGATTTTCATTCAACTTGGTAAAAAGAAGTTTTCAAGGTTGCTGAATAAGAATCTAAAATCGAATTTTTAAATTTCAAAATGGTGGATCCAATATGGCGGATGAACCTAAAAATAATATTTTTAAAAATTGATCAAATTTGCTTGAATCTGGCTACTCGGGGGTTTTTGAGGTCGCTGAATACGAATTTAAAGTCAAATTTTAAATTTTCAAAATGGCGAATGAACCTAAAAATATTTTTAAAAATTGATCAAATTTTTTTTTTTTTTTTTAAATTTTTTTTTCAAAGAGGACCTAATTTCCTTTTCTATGTAATATTTACATTGCCAAATTAATGAAATTATGAAATAGAAGCAAATTTATTTAATTATTTTCTTTTAAAATGTAGTTAAAGTTCTGTTTACATTTACCCCGAGTTTTCGAATTCTCGGGGTAAATGTAAACACTTAATTATTTATTAACTAAATTGACGAAAATCAAAAATCAAAGTCAATTTTTGTTAGTTCATTAATAAGGAAGAATGACATATTTTTGTTTGATTTTTAAATTTATTTTTATGAAAATGCGAGACAAAATACTGAAACAGTAAAATTTTGATTTTCAATCATTTTTGCATTAAAAAATAACTTACACTATGGCATTGCCAATTGTCAAAATAAAATATTGGCAATACTCAGAACATCTTGTAGGTGAGCTGAGGTAAAAATATTGACGTCGTACTTATTTTTAAATTTGTAAATTTAGCTGAAACATCTACTGTTTACATTTACCCCCAATTGACCCTACACAATTTTAAAATAAACTTTGCAAGTAAATTTTTCGAATTATGCAAGCAAATCTTTAATATACAATATTTAGAAAAATTTCGGTGTTTTGTGGATAATTTTTCAGTTATTTTTAACTGATTCAGAAGCAAAAAGTCAGTCACTGCTGATTGTCAGTAAAAACCATGATTTTTAACTGATTCAAATTAAGAGAATATATTATTTATCATATTATAAATAATATACCAATAGATGTTAAACAGGTACGTGATAGATATTAAATAGTTTACAGCATTTTTAACTTGTTTTATATAGAAAAAGTGACATTGTCACATATAATTTCTTATAATCTTTGAATTTAAAAGATTGTGACGTAACACATGAGTTCACCCCCCCCCCTCCCCCATGTCACACTTAGTCACAATTCTTAGACCCCCTCCCTCCCCCTAGCCGCGTGACGTATTATGTGTACGGCCCCTAAATGTAAACGGAATATCTATTTTTCACCAAAAACATTAGTTTTTTTGTTAAAAGGTAAAACGGACGGATTTCTTTTGCATGAACTTGTTACTATAGAGTTCCCTAGAAAAATTTGATGAGGTACAAAAAAATATTGATGCACCTGAATCGCCTAAAACTGACTGTTTACATTTACCCCGAGATTTTGAAATTTTCCTAAAATTCGGGGTAAATGTAAACACCACTGTAGTTAAGCGAGGTTTAAGAAACAAGTTATTTCAAGTATACTACTGTTTTAAGGGATGGAGAAACTGAAAAAAAATTCTTCGTAGATGTATAGTAAATCAACCAGTTGACTGATAACACAGTGCAACAGCATTTTTATTTCTGGGATTACATAGGGTGATTCTTATAGGTTTTTTGATGCCGAACACGAATCCGTAATCAGAATTGGTCCATCACCCTAGATTTTTGAGAAATTTGACCTTGAAAATTGAAAAAAGGCCGTTTTTTGGGTACTTTTCTCTCTAAATCTGAATATGTGAAATTTCACTTATTGTACGTTATAAGTCGTCCTCTCGATCAATAAGTGCATATACACTTATAAATAAGTGAATTTTTCACTTATTCTAAATGAAATTTCACTTATTATAAGTGTATATGCACTTATTGATCGAGAAGACGACTTATAACGTACAAATATGTGAATTTTCACATATTCAGATTTAGAGAGTTTGGTTTTTTATCAGGGTTGTATATATACAAATTTTTCCTAGGGTTTTCATTATATGCGTACGAAAGCCCATATCCCCCTTAACAATTTCCAATTTGGACCTTTTAAAAATATCTATTTTTCGATGAGTTATCTTTGTTTGATGTTCGCGTCGCATCGTAAAATTAGCAAAAATGCCGTTTTTCAGGTATTTTTTTGTTTTTTATCAGGGTACAAAAATTTTTTCTAGTGTTTGCATGATATTCGTATGAAAGCTATTCTTCTCAACAATCTCCAATCTTGACATTTTAAAAATATCTATTTTTCAATGAGCTATCCTTGTTTGAAGTTCGCATCGTAACGTCAAATGGGATAACAGTGAGAAAAATATTATCATAATATTACTATTATTAATATTAACCCATTAAATCTCAAGCAGAAACCAATGATTCATTAAAGAAACTATTACATTCTTAGGAAAATCAAAAATAAATGAACCATTGCTTTTTTGTTTATCATTTCAAATTCTTTAACAATAATTTAACAAAAACAAAGATAACTCATCGAAAAAAAAATATTTTTAAAATGTTCAAATTGGAGATTGTTGAGGATGATGTGAGCTTTCGTACTCATATCATGAAAACACTAGAAAAAATTTTTGTACCCTGATAAAAATCCAAAAAGTATCCCAAAAACGTCCATTTTTCAATTTTCAAGGTCAAATTTCTCGAAAACCTAGGGTGATGGAACAATTCTGATTACGGATTCGCATTCAGCATCAAAAAACCTATCAAAATCACCCTATGCGATCCCAGAAATAATAAAAAAGTGAAATTCTGTTGCACTGTGTAATGCATCATATAAAATAAACAATCAACCATTACAAAATTAGTTATGTAAAAACTTGAATAACTTGAACAAATTTTAATAGATTTTCATTCAACTTGGTAAAAAGAAGTTTTTTTTTTATTTTGCTGAATAAGAATCTAAAATCAAATTTTTAAATTTC